GTATTATGGTAGTATCGTGGTCACAAGCCTTTATATGAGGGTTTTCATTTTGGTTGACCTACCTATCAGGCTTTTTGCAATTCCCCTTTCTTTTCACTCTGCACAGCTCGGTTTATATCAGTAATTGATTTCCCTCTGCACTTCATATCCAGAACAATGCCCTAGCTGTTGAGACCTCACCACCGGCGCCTATATTTTCACTTTTTCATCCTCCTCTGCTTAGTCAAAATTCCAGAGATAATTCCTTTTCACATCCTCGAAGAATAGCGCTCGGTATTTTCCTCTAGTTGCCTTCTTCGCGAAGTACTATTGCAGTAGACTCGTTTCCGTAAGTCCGAATGGACGCTAAAGAGCCTCTTAGTCTCCACTCACTCACATATGCACATCATGCAAATTCGTTCTTCTCGTCCTCTTTCCTTTCATCAGATTAACCAGAGGATCTGCTGGCGATCATTCCGACAGACGTATAAGAAGAGGCGCGAGATTTATATGTGACAAGTGGATCTTCGGGTAGTTTCCCCACTGTCGGATGAGCTAGTTTTCCAGCCACGTCAGCATCGCCATATACCGAGTCAGTGGTAAATTGAAGTGTATAGAAAACAATATAGCAAGCGTTACGAAGAAGGGGTTGATTATCAGGGATTCCTTGGAGGACAAGCGCCGAATGACGGTGGTGTGTGCACACAAGTAACCACGAGGCGCTCCCGCAACTTCAAGCCAGTGGATGTTCCGCAGTCTGTTATGGGTTTCGGATCCAAATCACTTTTCTCTTCGATGTCTGCTAGAGCGCAGTAAATAGTCTACCCTACCGTTTCTTTCCGTTGTAAACTAGGTGAGAAAAGGTTGGCTCCACTTCCTCTTGCGTAAGTCCACCCTTGTACGTCTAAACGCTTTTGTGTAACCGATAGGCTAATCCTCCGTTCAAATCACTCACCGCACTACCGTATCCTGTTAGCAAGCACATCAGCGCAAGCCTCATATCCATGTTCGACGCTTACGATGATAATGCGTTGTTGCTCAGTCCCGCGCTTTTATCTTTCCCATCGTTTCCACTCGCCCCTAGCAAGCGTTGCTTTAGCCGTCGCTCTCTTTTTGCTGTCGCAGAAAACGTCCAGAGAGGGATTTTGCCCGGCTTTCTGACCTACTGTCAGCATCGGGAAGGGTCGGCTGGTCTGGCTCGCATAAAGCCACAACCGTTCTTCTTCTTCATTAATACACATCAGATCAATATTTGAATGGTAATTACGGGAAGATTTCATCATTTCAGATAGCTTCAGCATCATACCACTTCTTCCGGCAGTTAGCTAACCCGGCTTC